TCCCCGCCGCCTCCCTCTCCCCTCCCGGGCCCCCGCCTCCTTTCCCCTTAGCTGAGTCCCCCTTCCTCCCGCCCTTCTCCAGCCTTTCGGTCACTTGCTGGTGCCCTTGGGTGCTCGGAGCGTAGAAGGCGCGACTCCTGGGTCCCCAGGCTCCCGGCTCCGGCCGCCAGAGAGCAGCAAGCGTCCGGGATCTGCGGACTGCGGACTGGACCGCGTAGTGCCGCGGCGGGTTCCCTCCCGGGACTGCCTGAATGGATCTGTCGCACCTCTTCATTTTCTCGGGCCACTGGCCGGGGTGGGGGTGTCTCAAACACCTCTGTCCAGTGCGGTGGCATGGAGAGAGCCCCTGAAGAGGTCAGATGACTGTGCTCGCTTAGAATGGGCAAAGGAACCAGACTACATAGTGACAGCCCTTGGACCCTGCCCACAACATATCAGTTCGCATATACCGACTTCTGCACTGTTACTTTACTCCATATGAGACGTCGGAATAAAACTTCCTTGTCACACTAAATAAGTGGCTTCGTTCTGGGGAGGGAGGGTTTAAGTGCTGGAGGGTGGGAAAGGCCACTTGGCAAGATGGTTGCAGGGAGAGCAGTCTGGCTCCAAATCTAGGCTCCACCCCGTGTCAGCTGTTTGACATCTTTGTGCCTCAGTTCCTCATCTGTAAAATAAGGGTGAGAATAGTGTCTACTTAATGGCATCAAGTTTAAATGAGTTAATATGTGTTAAGGCCCCAGAGCAGTGCCTGCATTTGTTAGCTGAGTGGGGTTTGACAGGGCAAGATTTGAACAAGGAGGACAGAGGGCAAAAGGGGTGTGGAGCTGGTATGAACAGTGGATCCAGGCGGAGGGGAGATTATGAGGAGTGACTTGCTGACTAGGTAGGACTGGGTAGGGAGAAACAAAAGGAGATCATTCATTTGACCAAAATAAAAATACCAACTAGGCTGCTGTCATGTGGCAGGCACAGTGCTGGACACTCTGGGTGGCGGGGGAAGGGGACATTGCAGGGAGGATAGCACCACCATGTACCTGTAGGATGGGGAAGGCTTCATGTCAGGGAGATTAAAGCCTGTTTGGAGAGGTGTCTGGGAGGGAGTAGAGAACTCAAGGCCTTGGTGTCCACTGGCTGTGGATGACATAGGGGCAGGGTGTCTGTGAGTCCTAGATGAAAAGGCATTTTGGAGAAAAAGCAGAAAATAGGTGAAATTTTGAGAGATGGGTAACCCCCTCCCTCAGACACCCTCTTCCCCAGCCCAGGAAACTAAAGCTATTATAGTCATACCTTAGAAAGAGCTCTTCCAAGGCCCTCCCTCGGCTTCCCCAAATCTTTCATCTTTTGCTTGGTTGAGTCTTTGATAATTTACCATAGAGAGTTGAAATTAAAGCAAGGTGAGTCCCGGAGACCCTGCTGGCCCTTGGGTTCTTTGTGATCCAGAGGCATGGCTTCTATTTAAGATGGAAAACTAAGCACCTGTGTTTACCTCCCCTCCCTCCTAGAACCCCTTTTAGAGTGAGAGTAAAGAAAAAGGAAAGGTCCATCCTAGAACTGAGAAGTAAACTCCTATGCTGATAAACTTGGACTCTAGCCTCTAAAGAGGAGGCTTGAAGGAACATTACAAGAGATCATGAGGTGTTTGAAGAGAGCTGGATCTATTTCTCTCTGGTGAAGATGGAGCAGGTGGTTGTCACTTTGAGTCAGAATGCTGCATGAGAAAGAATACTGACATAGAAGGTGTTCCTGACAGATATCCTGTTTGCAGGGATGAGCCAGTCAACCCCCAGTCCCCTCCCACCTTACCAAAGCCTGGGCAACCTTCATTATTCGTTCGACACAAGTTAACTAAGTAGCAGCTATATGCCAGGAACTGTTCCTGGCACTGGAGATATGATGTTGAAAAAAGCCAAGTCCCTGCCATCCTGGGGCTCACATTCAAATGGCAGGAAGTGCTGCCCAGAAGAGTTAGGAAGAGAGCTTTTCCATTGCTATGAATAAAAGTTTTCTCTGGGTTTGATATCTGGATCCTGGAGATTCTCTTCAGTTAAACCTTCAAAGGAAATCCAAATCCAATTTTTTTAATGTATCTCTCCACCTCAGAATTGCAGTTGAAGCTGAAGAAGTTCAAAATCATGCATGTCATTGGCAGACATGGCTAAAGCTGCCATTTCCTGGGATTAGTCCTTGTGAAGAACATGAACTTCCATTCTATTTTTCAGCTGCAAAGGGATTGATAGCCCTAGTCTGACCTTTAAGTCTACCATGGCCTGACCCTACCCCTGGCTACAACCTGACCCATAACTCTGACCAATCAACAGCCTAAGCCTTCCGGATCCCCCTAATTGTGTCACTCACCCCAGACACATACTGTGATCAGCAGAGGCACAGGGTGAAGGGGTGAGGGCTCAGTGTTATCAGGACTGTAGTTTGGTGTTCAGGGCTGGCCGCCTTCCAGTGGTCATGTGTTAGGTAGTATGCAGCTAAAGGATGTAGTTTCTGCAGGAAGGAGATACTTTGTTATCCATCCTGCCAGCCCCATCCTTATGTCAAAGAGGCTGCAGGGGACTTCAGGCCAATTATGATTTGATTTTCTATGCTGATTTTTGCCTAAAATTAATGGAGTTAGAAGTTAATGACTATATCTCCCATCATAGTAGAAATGGTAGAGTCTGAGTATGGGCTCCAATGGAATGACTACTACTCAGAGCCTGGCAAGCAGCCCACTGTGGCTCTGGGGACCTTGGGGTGGCTGTTTGCTTTGCAGCTGTGTTTGCTTCTGCTCCTAAGACATATTCATTTCCTTCTTTCTTTCTTTCTTTCTTTCTTTCTTTCTTTCTTTCTTTCTTTCTTTCTTTCTTTCTTTCTTT